GGTACCCTTGCCCCTGGAGGGGGGAATTGCACCCAGACCCAGGTGGTGTTACCCTTTTCCCTGCGGTGGGGAGAGGCAGACCGCCCCGACTCCGCAGCAGCAGGGAGGCCCCACACCCCAGACCGCAGCCGGACGGCCAAGTTGTGGATTTTAGCTAGAACAGCATAATTAATATCTGTGTTATTCCTCTGACCCTGTCTGCTGACAGGTCCTCTGGTCCTGAGGTGGACTCCTCCTGTGATTTAGCCCACTTACTTACAGAGACAGAGAGACTGATTCGCTTCTTTTCCACTGTCTCATCCACACTTTCACACACAGCTGGTGATGCTTAAGATCACTGACTCACATTTTTGGATTCTTATTTTCTTTTATAACCCAGAAATGTTTGGCTCTACCCTTCAGATAAGTTTTTATTTGGGTCTGTGTACAATAAGCTGCTGTGTAGGATGTTCTCCTCGTGTGAATGATGTTTGGGATTTTCATGGAAATTCAACTTGTGTAATCAGATTTTTCTAGAAGTGTTTCAAAGTCAGGTTACCAGGGTGCGCCCGATATTGAGACCTGAGGACTAACACGTGGCCAAGTCTTTATGCTGGTAGTTTTATGTATTAAAATGTTTTTGTAATTTTTTTTTCATAATTGTGTGTAGTAGCATAAACCTGTGGTTGTCAAATCTGTGGTTCAGTTCACTAAAGCCAGCTTGTTCTTTAAATTTGCATCCCTGCCTCTGTGTCTCATTTAAACACACCACTCTGCTCCTGTAATCAAACCTGTTGGTCCATTAATATAATCTATACAATAATTGTCACCACTGTGTGACAAGAATATAACAACATCCTCCAAACCTGAAGCAGGAGAATAAAAACTGTTCAGGGTTCTTGATGTTTCAAACTTTTTAAAACTAGAAGAGTTTTAAAAAGTCTGAGTGAGGAACTTTCCATTTTCCTGCAAATTGTTCCTATATAATTTGCTATTATTAATACACACAGCATCACAAGCAATTGTTAGATTAAAAACTGCAGTCACCGTTTCTCATCATTTCAGACTGGGCCACCAAACTGCATTTTATTTTTATTTTATCCATTTCATTCTACTGCTGCACCATCATCCACGTTTTACCAGATTGTCCTTCATTTGCTTTTTGTAATTCCAGCCTCTAAAATTTCTTCCCATCTTGTTTTGTGTGTTTGCTCCTTGAATTCAGAGCTCTGACCTTCTGTCCTCTCTGCTGTGTTTCTGTCACATCCATTTCTCTCTGACTGGGATTCATCAGTAAATCTGTGAAATACTGACATGTCTGAGTCCAGCTTTCACTCACTGCTGATGTGATGTTTCACTGCTATCACAGTGCTGCTCAGCCTGAAATGTTCTGCAGGAAAACCAAGACTCATATTTCTGATGACTTTAAAATTACTGTAGGTTCATTTTTTAGAACAAGTCACTGAAAGTCGCTCAGTTTAGTTTTAGATTATAATTATAGATTTGTATACATGTACCAAATAAATCATTGCGTTATGGAGTAAATGGGGACCTCTATATTACATTTACCTGTAATGATACATTCTAATGAAGCTGAGAGTTCAGTGATTCACCAGGTTTACTTATCCCCCCCCAAGTTTAGGAGGATATTATGAAATACGCTAAAATTAATTTTAATAAGAACAGACAGCAATAAGGAAGACAAACATTACTGTTCATAGTGTTGAAACTCATTACACACAGACAAAATAAAAAAACAACAACAACACTATTCAGCAGCTCTTCTACATTTTACAAAGTTTATAACGTTGACGCAGTTCATATCTGAGTAATGAGATCACATTTGTTCCTGTGTTGATGTGAGGAAGAGTTAACTTTCAGTGTGTGAAGCTGGGAGAAGTTAATCTGTTTCTGCTCTGATCAGAGGAAATGAGACCTGCTGAGGCCTCGGACACACTGATCAGTTTCATTGTCTTTTATCTTTACAGACCCAGAGCTTTTTCAAACACCCTCTGAGCATCATCAGCGAGCTGATTGAGGATAACATTCAGAATTTTATAAGTTGTAGTAAAAGAGAGACCCATGGCTATTGGGATTCCAATAAACGGAATAAATCTGGATACTTCCTCTGCTGCCATTAATGAAGCTGTGCATCCCACTTGGGTCATCACCTTCAAGAGGAGCTCTGTAGTTATTTCTGCTGCAGCCAGTGGTGAAGTGATGACAGCACGCAGATCAGCGTAGGGCACACCTGTGCTCACAGAAAGTCTCTTCAGAGACGGGATATCGAGACCAAACGCCTGAACATAATCTTTGACAGCACCAACCAGTACAGCAGCATCAACATTAGCAGAGAGACCAGGAACTGGAACAGCTGCTCCAGCTGCAGACAGAGTAGCCCAGTATTTTAATTTGGACTGAAAAGCTTTTTTCTTCTTGATGATGATCTCTGGGTTGATGTTGAGCATGACAAGCTGCAGAGCATCTCTCTTCTTCATAGGAAGTTCTCTCTCTAAGGTCTCTTGTAAAAGAGAGAAATCACACCAGTGCTGCTTAAAACTCGACACCAGGAAGACCCGTGGAGACTCGATGCCTTGTAGACCTGTGTGATAGAGAAACATGTTGAACATGGTTAGATTTATAAAATAATATCATAGGATCCTGTGTGGAAGGAAGTGTCGTGGATCCAATATGCAGGACTCAAGAGAAGCTTTGATGCTGGATTTACAGGTCACAAGATAAACTACAGCAGAAACCTAATAATCAGGGAACTCTCCAAACAGAGCTCACAGCTGGAGCAGATATGATGACAACATGACAAAGAACAGTGGGAGAAACAGACAATATTTACAAGAGGGAATCAGGACAGAGAGGACAGAGAGGAACACGGCTGAACATAGTTAACTGACGAGACAGGCAGTAAAACTGAACATAGCACACACATGAGACTATCAAAATAAAACAGGAAATAACACACCGACTCTGACAAAGACACGTGAGCTTGACACTGGGACTGGGGATGAACAGACATGGAGACACGTGACAGACTGGGTAGACAAAGGATGAAACACAGAGAGAAGGACATGGGAACAGGAAAGGGAGAAACAAAGAGTAGGACTAGAGACGTACTAACAAGACAAGAGAGGGAACACGGAGAACTAACACCCACTAACACGACAGGAAACTAGAAGCATGGATAACTGAACGAGGGAGCACTAGGAAATAATACCAAGCAAACAGACTAAACAATGCAGAACACATAAATCCAGAAATACAAGAGGAACTCATACAAACTCAAAACACTTAAAACAAGGATATGTTTAAAAAGCGAATCCAGATCTCACTCAGCTGTGATGAGACACTCACTGTGAACGCAGTCGTCTCTGATTACTTTGAGAGTCCTCTCAGCACTGAAGTCTCTCTTTCTTCTCTCAGCATTTATATCGTTGTCGATCTTTGAGCGAACAAAGTAGAACTTTTTCTTCATCTTCTGAATCTCCTGAGCGAGTTTCACGTCATTTTCTCTGAAGTGAGTGTCTGAGATGATGATGAAAAAGTCAAACTTCTCAAATCCGACAAGCTTCAGGTACTTCTTAGCTGGAAACTTGGTGGTGCCGATTCCAGGAAGATCCCACAAAGTAACATTGGAATAGTTGGGATGGGGGTACGGTGTGACCTCTGAGGTGGTTTGTTTCACACCAGTAGGAGCAGCTCCCTCCTCATCATCACTCACACTTCTGAAGGCATTAACAAAGTTGGATTTACCAGAATCAGATTCTCCTGTGATGGCGATATTTAGTGGAATATTATCTTGTTTTTCTAAATGTTGTTGAATCTCTGCAGCTGCTGCAGCAGTGTCTTTGTGCTGCAGGTCTTCTTTATGTCCAGGAATTTCTTCTGATTCATTGAATCTTCTGGCTCCTCCGTGCTGATCCTAAACAAAAGAAAAATAAGGAAAATTCAAATTTTATGTTAGATGAAGAATTTGTAAATATTTCATATCTTCAGTTTATTTTCTTTATAAAGATAACTTACTGCTGCCTCGTAGAGCGTTCCATTCTCAGTTGTGTTAAAAAGCTGGTCTTCAGTGGTCTTCATGCTTCTTATCCGGATCCAGGTCTGCTTTCTCGCCAGGGCCTCCAGTTTTCTGTACACTACAACTTCAGGTGTGTTCTTGAAACTGAAAACAAAGTTCTCACTGAGGAGGGCGTTCCACAGGTCCCGAATTTTGGTTCTGAGCTGTGAGAGAGTGATCCCAGCGGACTTTGAAGCTTTAGAGAGGATGGTGTTCTTCACTTCTTGGAGGCTCTCACTGTAA